GAAAAATTTAAGGGGGTCTGAATACTTTCCGTACCCACTGTAGAGGCTCTCAAGGTGGCAAAAAAGAAAAAACAACCAATTGTGTTGCATGTACACAAGTGATACAGTGAAAAAAGTGCACAAAATGTGAATGTTTTAGTCAACAGACCATGAAGTTGTGCTGATGACTGTTTTCTGTAAGGCACAATTTGGTGTTGGCTTACAAAGGTGTGTGTGTGTGTGTGTCTGGTGTGAGTTTTATGCCTTAAGATATAAGGCATAAAACTTTGTGTGTGCGCTGACCACACATACTGTAGCCAGAGAATGAATGGGTTTCAGTGGACAAGTGTTTATTTGCTTACTAACTGTTGTTTAAAACATTGTGCAGCAGCCTCACCCCTCACACACGTGCACACACACACACACACACTCCCTGTTTTAGCTGTGACAGAAGGGGCATGTCCTAAGGATGTGAGGGGTGTGTCTGTGGTCACAGTGATAGTATAAGACATAGCCAGGTACAGCAAATTCTCCACAGACTTGTGCAGGTCAGAAACCTTCTGGCTGCACTTTAATGTCAACTCTCTGTCACAGTTTGATCTTTTTAGAATTTCAGATTTTTAATCTTAATTTTCTTAATTTTTGAGTTTCATATCCAAGTAGTACCAAATACTACTTTTAGCAAGTGTCATTTTAGAGAGCTGTAAAAAAGTTAGAGCATATTTGGTCCGTGCACACAGCATCCTCCCTGAGTTGCCACGGCAACTGTGTCAGTCGCTGCAAATCTGGGGTAAGTATGCTGCTTTGTCTTTATACTCTCTTGACCATTTTCATATTTTGTTTTCCAAACTTGTGTTTTCTCTTCGTCTGAGCTGTAATGGCTGACTTTTTCTATATAATCTCTCCCCTCCTTTCCTCTCCTTTTCTCTACTTTCTACTCCTATAACTATAGTTGCAAAGGTATTCTGGTTTCATGGTATACCATGTTATGAAAATTGACAGTTATCATACCATGCACATTTGCACATTTACCAGTATTGAAGAACTACCATGAAACCGTGATATTTTCTGAAACAGGTATCCTATCATGAAAATCGCATACCATTGCAAACCTACCTGTGATATTCTGCATGCACCTTGCCTGTACTTTCTTTTAAACTTTCATTTGTACTCTGAAAGCTCCTCTGCAATCTATGATCTTATTGAGAAATGCCATTGCTCTTCTTGTCATCATTATTCTCTCCCTCTGTTACATTTTCCAAGCATTTTTACTTTGGTCAGTAGCTGTTTTACCAGGCATATCTGCAGCGTGTCTAATGCCATATTCATGTGGTCTGAAGTCTGAATTATTTTTGTGTTGTGTGACTACATATATGTATTTTTGAAAGAAAAATCTCCACCACAAATAACCTACTATATACTGAAAGAACCAAGGTCCCTCTGATAAAACTAGCATCACCTAGTCCTGGAAATGGGGCTCAGCACAAAGCACACTTAATTAAAGGCAAATTTTTGACTTTTTTTGTTTTATTTTGTCAGTTGATTAATCACACAGTGGAAGTAGTGATTGTACAGAATCTGGAGGTCCAGAGAATGAAAAAGGCCAGAGTTTTGTTCTGCAAAATAAAGCAATCGTCCTGATTTTTTTCATGCATTCATCTTCTCTATCATGATATCACAAAGTTTTGATTTCTACATTGTTATAACCAACCTAAATGTCAGGAAATGCTCATCCCAGGGGCAGCTACTGTACACATGTAAAATGTGTCAGGTGTTGAGAAAGTCAGCATGTGTTGGCAAATAAATATGTTGTAGCCTTAAATATGTATGTGAGTACAGATGGTCCAAAAATAGTCACAGAAAAGCCTGGGTTCATTCACTGCTGTCCATAAAAAGGGCCTGATTCATTTTAAATGTTATTTACAGCATTTACAGCTGCTCCTTACTTACAAGTTGCAGTGCTCTGGATAAAATGACTCAGGTGTTTTTCTGCCATGGGAGCATGTGTGGTTTTGTGTGAGTGTGCATGTCTACGTACTGTGTGTTACTTTATTACTCAGACTGTGGGGACCGAAACCTGTTTACACACTAACACTGTGGGGACTCACCCTTGTCTGGGGACCAGCTATCATTGAATTTTAGTGGCAAATTGGTTTAAGGTTAGATGAGTAAGGTTGGGGTAAGTCTCAATGAAATGAATATAAGTCAATGTAAAGTCCCCACAAGGAATGAAATCAAACTTATTTGTCTGTGTTTGTTTGACAGAATCAAAAGGTTTTGGCTTTGCAAGTGTTGTAATGTCATCACTTATGTTGTGTTGTGATGTGTCTTGTCAAATCTGAGGTTTCTTTTTACTTAATAATAAGTCAGTAAATTGTGTTTGAAAGGGCTTCAGCTGTGCTGACTGAAGTGACTAGATTGATTTTTACTGTGTTTTCAAGCCCATAGATATGCAGACCTGTTTGTGTTTTCAAATGTGACTAATCTTTTTCTGTTCTGTTCTTTTCTCCTTTAGATCTTATGCACATAGAAGAATACATTGAAGAAGATGAGGAACCACCTTTGCTGCTCAGCTCTTGTCCTACTCACGGTAAATATGTGCATTTGTGTGTGTTTATGCAAATAAAAAAACAAAGTTTGCATTTTTGAGTGTGTATGTGTGGGTGTGTAGGTCTTTGCATTCATTCTGATGAGATATCATCGTGATTTACAAAGCATGTGCGCTCAGTTTTACTGCAAACTTCATCTGTCTCATGAGCTCGTGTTTGTGCATCTTCCAGGTGTTCGGCTGTGGTGGGACTGCAGCAGTGCAGTGTCGGTGGGGAGTAGGGTGCATGTGTCTGCAGTGCCCTGCAGGCCAGGAGCCTACCAAGGTGAAAATATAATAGATTGAGAGACATTTTCTATAAATTATATCTCTGCTATTACAATATCTCTTGCTAACAAGCACTTTGTGTTCCTTCTAAACGATTGTTGACCCCCACTACAAACCTTCACCCCATGTTCCTTAATAAACTTTACCCCTCTTAAATACATATATGTTTACTCCCACCTTCAAACCACAGGCCAGAGATCTAGAGTTTATTTTTTAAATGCAAATTGGATGCAAATATTCTTCTTCCCTGCCTTCTAATTTATGTGCTGGGTCACTATATTCAACATAAGTTATTTGCTTCCATAAATCCATGTTTAATGATGCAAACCTATGACATTGCTTTATGACCAGAGTGGGACTTTGTCAAGATGTGGCATGTTTTTTTTGTTGCAAGTTGAATTGATGAAGTTGTAGCAAGTTACATGCTGCTACTGATAACAACACAGCTACCATTTATTACTTAGATATTCATATTTACTTGTGGTAAACAGCCTTAAGGCTTTTTATGTGAAACTGTAAAAAAGATATCATTGTTTTAATTCCCATCATCAAGGCAGGACTTCTAATTAAAAGATATCTGTCCTTTGCACCTGAGGAATGATTCATTTTGTAATTTTGCAAAATTGCCAGGCTTGTGAACAGGTCCAGAGTCCAACAGAGGAAGTGCAATGCCACCCATGCCTGACTGGAACTTTTTCAGACACGTTCGACTCTGAACTGTGCCACCCGCACTCCTCCTGTGAGTTCCTCAGCCGACAGGTTGCAACTCCTGGCACTGTGACTTCAGATGCCATCTGTGGCGACTGTCTACCCGGGTAAGAACTCCCACTCTGTCTCTCTAATGGCCTACCTGCCTGCTTGTTGATCCACCCACAACTGTAGGCCTGATGTTCAAGGAGATTTGCTCCAATATGTACCTTGTAAACTTTAATTTGCTCTAAAATTAAGTGCTGTTATTTTCTCCACACACTGCTTTTACACTCATACAGCACAATACAATATTCACCACATTAAGCAGGCAACATTGAGAACCAGTGGACGTAACATGCCACAGGCTAAAAGTGCTGATTCATTCTTCCGCTGTAAAACATTCACTGATCTTTCCCCTCTCTGTCCAGCTCTCTAATTATGCTCTTTCCTCTTCTCTCTTTTTCCATTTGCAGGTTTCAGCCCACTGCTGCAGGGGAGCTTTCTACCCAGACTCTCTGTGTAAAAAGTAAGTATGCTCATGCAGTGTGTTTACGTTTCTTGAAAATGTGTTTGCATTCACATGCTGCAAAGCACTTCATGGAAATAAAACCCTCTTTCTGCTTTTACCCCCTGCCTCTCTCATCTCTTTTCTCAAATTCCTCTCCTTTCTCTCAGTAGCTGTGCTCGTCAGGACTGTTCGCACAGTGAGTGAAGCTCCTTCCAGTGGTGCAGGAGGGCCAGTTAATGGCACAAGAGTTAGCAGCGCTGCGGAAGACACAGCAGAGTATGCTGTGTTTGCTTTGGTTCCCGTCTTCTGTGTGATGGGCCTGCTGGGTATCCTTATCTGCAACATCCTGAAGAAGAAAGGATATCACTGCACTGCTGAGAAGGAGGGCAGAGATGAAGAGATGGCCACGCCACAGAAAGAAGGTAAGAGAGAGATGAGAGGAGAGAAGTTGCAAAATAACAAGGTTTTAGAATAAAAGAGTTAACATGAAAGGAAAAGATAGCAGCAGGTAGACAGTGGCATGGGCAATGATTCTTGAAAGGGCAGTGTGTGCAGTCACAGTCATTGCATCTCTGTGGCGTGTACTTCATGTTTGGAAGTACAGTGAGCTCACAGAGGGCATCCACAGTAGTTTGATAGCTCCTTGGTATTGATGATTACAGGGAACACATTACTCTTTTTCTTCCAGTACCAATATTTTTAAGCTTCTGTTTATAGAATCTCAGCCACAACCACTAATGTTATTTGTCTTTTATGCTTCTTGGGGCACAAGCTAAAGATCCATGTCACCAAGCCCATGCAGCTAAGCCTGTGTAGTGGCTTTAGAAGAGGCCAGCAGATCTGATTACACACATGTTTGATGCTAATGTCTTTTAAAAGCTGCCTGTATGTACGTAGATGTGATGGAGGATTTCATGCATTACCTTGGTCTCCTTCTCTCCAAGCACTTTGTTATGAAACCTAATAAGACATCCCTGCACCTGAAGGGAATCTCCCTGAACCCCCATCCACCTGCAGCTTGCTTTGTCTACCTGTCTACTGTCTTGGCTCTCCCTTCTCATCTGAACATGATACTGTCCATTCATCTCTCCTTTCTCAGCCAGATCAATAATTCAGTTGGGTCCTCATCTCATGATTTATGTCTCCTCTTTCAGTTCAATTCAATTCACTAAGCTTTATTGGCATGTCCATTTACATATACATGTGTAGTATAGTCAAAGCATTAGCATTTCAATTACAAATATGTAAATTCATTTGCAATTAATGAAGAAAAGACAAATATTTATATAATTTGTTAAGTGCAGTATTCTAGAAAAACAAGAATATAAAAATATTGCAATAATATAGGCTACATAGATAAAAAAAAAAAAAAACAAATAATAATATAGAAAATCAAGAAAGTGTCAGAGAAGTCTGTGTGGTCTGTTTAGGGCCTGTAGTTACAGATGAAATGTGTAGCTGTTGTGCTAGTTGGTCCTTAGGCTGTGGCATGGCAAGCAGCAATAATTTTTTTTTAGCTGATATGGCGTTGACAGGAGGTGTTGTTACTTCTCTTTTCTGACTTTTGTTTTCAGCCTTCTGTCTTTTTTCCCTCTTGTATGCCATCCTTTGAGTGGTAGTGATGCATTGCAAGTTCAGAGAATGCATTGTATGCAATAAATATATATTAATGTCTATTGAAAGAAAACAATAGCAGCTCTCCTCCTCCTCCTCCTGCACAGCTTTCAAGACAGATGATGCAGTGGTGCAGAGTAAGCTAGGTGTGTTTGTGTGACTAACACAGATAAAGGACAAGAGAGAGGAGTATAAGCAGGGTGTCAGATGAAGTTAATAATGATGACAGACAGCTGGTAATACAAAAGTTAAAGACTGCAGGTACAAAGATAAGAATAAAACACTTCTGGTTGTATGTAGCCATCCTTGTAGCAGCGTGCTGTGCGTCTGTCTGCCCAAGTCCTGACTTAGCTAAGGTTAGAGGTAAACATCTTACTCCAGCACTTTCCTCATCATTTCCAGTCAGGGGAACATCCACTGGGACGCATTACAGCAAAGCCAGGCTTAGCTCGGCACAGTTAAAATCAGATTCTGCAGAGATAGCTCTGACTGTGTAGAGCAGCAGACAGAGAAAAGTTAGATTTATTGGGGAGTGCAGTCACAGGAAACCTGAAGGAGGGAAACAGAAAAGCTAAATGTGGAGGCAATAACACCAGAGAGGTCATGAGATTGAGAAAGCTTTGTATGGGGCAAAGCTAAAGGTAGCTGCTGCAGTTTTTGGATTCAGTCACAAGACAGCATTCACAGTAAAGCTGGGGGTCAACAAACTGATGAGTTAATTTCTGAATCTCAAATGTAAAACTAAACAAACTCATCTGAAGACAATAACACAAAAACTGACTGGTGCCTGGGACTCCTCCCTGAACACACTTTATTGTGTGGCTGTGAAATAGATGTGGCTGCTCTTGCACATCAACAGTCAAGGAAACTGAGCTGTTATTAAAGTGTAACGATATCCTAACTTTGCTTATGCAATAAATACATAAATCTTTAAAAAGGCGGAAATACACACACATACTGTGTACAGTACAAATGAAAACTAAATAGTCACATTTTGTTAACTCACAAATACACTGAGCTGCTTAGCATCACACATACACACACACACACACACACATCCCCTTTGTGCTTCAACAGGGCTGAATGGAGCATGATCACTGAGTGAACTATTCTGGACCCCCTGCACCCTCATCACTCTCTTCTTAGCTGCCTCACTGTGCTGTGCTCTTATGGGGTGGTTGCCATGGAAGCATGTCTACTTTTTGTGGTTCAGTCACCCATATCAGTCTCATTGTGTCCTAAGGTGCGATATCCCAGCAGCGACACGCACTGCATGAACAGTGCTGTCTCGTTCTGGCAACTCAGAGTGAAGTTAATGTAATAGCAGTTTGGTGCTATTTGTATGTAATTACATGGATAAAAATGGTAATATACTAGATGTTGAATCTAGAACCTATGCACAGTATACATCTGACAGTTGTAAAGGGTTATTTTCTCTATCTCCGTCTCTTTTAGGTAGCAGTTGTCCCTATATATCCGACGACCTGAATGAAGACACCATCAGTATTCTCGTTCACCTCATCACTGAGAAAAAAGGTATGTGTTCTGCAAACACCAACAGTAATGACAATTGTGAGCCAGTGGTCAGAGCCAATTCATGTCTTGTGGCCTTAGAGGGGAACAAGAGACCACAGTGATGTCACAGAACGTCACACACAACCAAAGATGTGTCTCTGTCGCTGCCTCCTCGGCAGCTCTTTTTCCTTCCATCCTAGATTGGAGGTTAATGTTAGAAAAGGCAGGGAAATCAAAGGTCGCTATTATTTTCCTAATTATGTACTCACATTTGTCAACACTGGAGACATGGATGCTTTGCCCACTGATACACCAATAAGCACAAAATTAATATTATTATTATTAAATTGATATTATTATTGACTGAATTTCACTGTGAGACTCATTTGCATGTGTGTGTTTCAGAAAATGCTGCTGCACTGGAGGAACTGCTGCTAGAGTATGAGAGCAAGCAGATGGCCGCAAGCAAAGGCTCATCAATCAAGTATGAGACAAACACACACGGAAATTGACATGTAGTTTTGCTCAATCACGAGAAGGTCAAGTTTAACACAGAGGCAAAACCCTTATCGTCTGGGTGAGGATAAGGCAGTGAACAATTTGGAAGGACACTCATGCCAAGAGGCTTTAATTAAAAAAAAGTGTGTGCGCATGAGTGTGTGTTTGTACATATGGCAGAACAAGGCGAGAAAAGAGAAACATATACACATGTGTGTGTATGTACCGTATGTATATGTCCTAGACTGTCAGAGAAAAGACAATTGGCATGAATTTGATTATTTCGACCAAATTAACATCAGTATTTAAATCCAAAAGAGTGACGGGAGCATACTTCTGAGCATTTAAAAATCAATAAAAGAGCTGCATATGATGCAAGATTTAAATTGTGACCTCTTCGTTCTGGGCAGCAATTTGCTAATTAGTGTCTATGGACCTTATGCATCCATACATGGGACAGTGTCACTGTTGAAGTGGGAATCCCCCCAGTCCCCACTGACTCACTCCCATGTGCCTGAAGTGACTGTCTCATACAGTTGTAACCGCCGTGTTCTGAGTCATGATTGAGCCAATCCCTCTGTCACTAAGTTCACTGGTTGTCACATAACTTGAAGTCACACAGTTTACATGACCAAGTGTAGTTGTGCTTGGAACTGGGGTTGTAAGTTGTGGCCATTAAAATTGCTCAAGTAGTCTGAAGTTAATCTAAAAAAACAGTAACATACTGCTCTATACCACAGTCTACACCACTGTACTTTGACTGTTGCTTGGCTGTTTATGATAAAAAACACTGAAGAATCATTTGTACTCTCTCATTTTTAAACTGCCCTCTATTCTTTTCTGCTGTGGTGACCCAGCTTCTTCTACACAATCACTAAAGTTCATATTATTTCTCAATATTACAGCATGATAAGTGGACCTAACTGACAGTGAGCAGCTGCTCAGTGGGCTGCAGTAACATGTGGTCTTTAGATTCAAGAACATTGTCACATACACACACACACACACACACACACACACACACAAATAAAAATGACATGCACAGTTATGGAAAGCTTTCAAATCCTACCTGTGTGCGCATATCAGTGGTGGCTGGTTTTGCAGATGTTATCTGGGGTCACTACAGGTCACCGACACACTAGTATGAGACAGTTATACCCAGCTGCATTCATCTCTTCTGCTTTGCACAAAAGAACAATGGAAAGATATAAACTACAGAATCCAGGCGTATGTGTGCAGTGTGCAACATCAGAAGATAAAACTTTATCAGTTTCACTTCACTGGACAGTGGTGGCTAAAGGTTTGAGATGCAAACTTTTGACCAGAAAGTTTCTGGTTGAGTTGCCGGATCAGCAGGATTAAATCCAGGCGAGGACAAGTGAAGAAGCACTGTTTGTCCCTTCTGCATCAACACCACTGCCATGCCCTTAAGCATGGCCCTTAACACCCCATATGCTTAGTGGCCAGCAGGTCAGACTTTGATTGTACTGGGCACCGTCCGGGTGTGAATGTGATCACATTATGTGATTCTGCAAAAGACAGGTGGCCTCACAGTGAACCTACCCTGAGTATTTAAACTGAACAAGGGCTGAGGTAAATGTAAATGTCTGGAAATATTTGGAACTTGTCGTCCTGGTATTATGGTTTGTTGCTTAGCAAGCCTAGTTAGCACAGGTGTAAATAATAAAATGAAAGATGCCTGCATTCCATTTAACTCCTTCAGCTTGGAGGTCCAGGTGTTGTGTATTCTGGCTCACTGTCACACTGTAATTGTTATATGTAACGCCTGTGGTATGTCTGTTGTTAGAAAAGGGCAGTTGATACCCATATTTTAAGTTTGCACTGATTATTGTTTGGTTGGTATCTGTGTATTTTATTTTGTAACTTGCATGCTGCCATCTTTCCAGGGCTCCTTTGAGAAAGAGGTGGGACTGAAAAAATGAGTGTAACTAATCATGTCCTGCTTTTCATCCCCCTACAGGTTCCCGATGCTGTCTCCATTCCGCTCCCTCCCCAGGCTCTGTTCCCATCACTCCCATCTCCACACTATCTCTGGCTTGTCGGGTCTGGCCCCAAAACACGGCTATCGCTGCTCCCGCTGTGCCCAGAGGAAGTGGCCCCCTCTTCTCATTCCTCCTCTGGATTCCCTCAAAGATCCCCTGAAGCCCCCCCAGGCCCTTATTCTGCCCTCCCTGGGCGCATCTACTGACCCCCTGCTGGGGGCAGTGTGTGTCGACACCCACCATACACAAGCTGTTGTGCCAAATACTGTACAAGAAAAAGTGGAAGGTAAAGAAGTCAAGGAGAAGAAGAACGGAGAGCTGACCGTGTTGTCTGTGGGGAGGTGAGACACTTTGTTTTACAATACCAGTCAAACGTTTGGACACATGTTCTCATTCAGTGCAGTGGGAAAGTGTATCCACACCTTTAACTGGCAGTGTACACACAGCTGACACGACACATTACAGGCAATCACTGGTGTAGGACTCTTAAGTAACAGAACAGAGCAGCTCAACTAAATACACTCTAGTGGTGGGATGTAACCAAGTATGTTTCCTGAAATATTGTGCAGTATGGTGGTACTGATACTGTACTTACCTGACTATTTCCACTTTTTGCTGCTTTTCACATCTACTCCACTTCAAATATTGCACTTTTTACTCAACTGCATTTATTTGAGCGGTATAGTTACTACCTTAGGGATAAAATTTTACATACCATTATATATGATCATTTTATCAAATACAAAAATGGTATGATATTAAATAACCCTCATAAGTAGTAGAAAGTAGAATAATAAAGCATCAAACACAGCTGCACACATCTGTATATCAGCAGAGTATCATGACTGAGATGTTATCAGAATGTAACTGTGATCATATCTTTTACTCAATTAACAGATTTCAGGTTTCGCAGATCCCTGAGCAGAAGCCTGCCACTGTGGAAACTAAGACATCATCCCAGGAGCAGAGGAACTCCCTGCCTAGCAGGAAACATTGCTCCTCCTCTTAATCATCTGGCAACAGAAGGTACCAGTGTGCCAACAATAACATGGCTTTTCAGGTTCAGATAAAGATACAGAAAAACAGAAATAGCCTATAGGCAAAATAACATATTGTCAGTATTTTAGACTGAGACCCCCCCAAAGTTTTGCAAATCATGTTTTCTGGGGATCTCATGTCTTGTTAAGGGGAGCTGAACTCCCCTTAGCTTCACCGTAGCTCACACCATGGAAGTTACAGTATAACCTCACACATATACTTCTTCCTTTTTGTCCTATTACTACTACACTATTACTGTTTCCCTCTTATTTTTCTGTTTCTTCTGGCATGAACACTGCTAAGTTTTTACAGTTGAAGTGCTGTGACTAATGAACTGTGAAATGGCTTAAAACAGATTAGTTTGTCGGAGATCATAACTTGGAAATCTGGTGTTTCTGCTTCACACCCTTTTTTGGTCTGCCCCTTGTGTCCTCCCTATGCTTCCTCCATGACATTTTGATACTCTCTTTCAGGTGAAGAGATGAAGAGAAACAGTATGATAATGCTACCTCGCTGAGTTAAACCTCATAGTCTGCCGATGCTGTGACTGGTGGCAGGGTGTGTGTTTTTACATGGCCAACACCAAGAAACCACAAGAGCAGCCTCCTGCTGGAAGAGGTTGTACATGATAAGAGGAATATAACTGTATTTATTATGACATAAAAGATTATTGTATTTCACAGATGTATTTGAGTTACCATCACAGAACTGATATCACAGGTGCTTTGTTGTCCTACGTCACACTGAGACAGGGCAGAGAGATTTATGTGTAGCTTTAAAATGAACAATTATCACAATCTGACACTTGATAAGATGAGATGGAGAACATGAATTTTTGATGCATCCTTGTATTTGTGCTTCCTTGTAAATGAAACACACAGCCTGACATATACACTACATGTAGACAGGCACATCTGCATGAACTCACACTGGACACTGTGGATTAGATAACTGACAAAAACATTAAACTCAAACAACAGTGAGTATAAACCAAACTCTCGCTTATAAATGTGTATGTTTTGTTTAAAAAAAGGGAAACATCAAGCCAAGTTGTCTGTAACGAGGTGCCATGTGAACTAAGTCTGTGAAGGTTTTCATTACCAACAGCTAATCTGGCATGGTTTTGGGTCATGAGGCACTTGGTTAAAGACTAGTAGCACTACAATAAGTATTATTTAAAAAAAAAAAGTTATACAATTCAATATAACTTTGATATTTGAAATATTTTTATAAGTGATTTAGCTCCTCTTGTTTCTGCTCCCATAGAAACTGAAGGTGAATTTAGATTTCAGACCTTGAAGATGTTGAATGTAGTTTTAACAGAAGAAGCTCACTGCAGGTACCAAGTATGTTTGAGCTGAACCTTTGTTTGAAAAGCATCAAGCCAGCTATGGACACCTACCCACAGTCAGTACTAACAACACTTAAAGCTGTTAGACTAGATCCAAGTAGGTGATCAGGGGCCAAATGTTGTTTTACAGGGGCCCTTTATTTAGTGTGTCACAGCATTTTTAACAACACTACAGTTTGGGGCTGTGATTGCCATGTGATTCCTGGGGTGGAAAATTTTAATGGGTAGTTATCACTTTTGTAGAATAGAACATGTAAATGCATGTGCATATGTAAATATGGGTGGGTATACAGAAACAGACCTTACCTGGCTTTTATAGTTTTAGCATACAGTATGCATGAGGTGGTAGATCGCCTGTGTGCTGCACCAGCGATTGACATACAATCAACAACTGGCAAACTCTGACACACACATTCAAGCTGAAATGCTGGCTATAATTGACATGATATATATGATTTTTCATCATTTGCATGCAACATTTCAATATTTTTCTTTTTCAAACTGTTATGGTCTTCCAATCCAGTCCTAAACACAAGCACATACACAGTTGTGTTCACTTGATGAAACCGCTACCGCATAAACATACACACATAATCATTTTATATACTATAATTGAATTAATAAACCAGTGGCTGTAGAGGATTAGTGGTTGAGATGCCAAAGTCATGGAGCTCAGTTGGCTTTAGTTTCTATTGTCAAGGGT